GAATTAAAAAAAAAAAAAAAAAACGGACGGACGGACGGACGGAAATCTCATTTCCGCGGACGTGTCAAAAGAATAAACCTGGAAATCATTAATGGAGAAAGATTAAAAAGGAAAGAAAACGAAAACTAAAAAACTCTTCCTTCATCAAACTCTCTCACTCTCTCTCTCTCTCTCTCTCTCTCTCTCTTTCTTTTTACTTTTAAAGTGTCATTAGACGACGACTAATTAAGAAAAAATAAAAAAAAATTTTTCGCGAAAGAAAAAACAAAAAAAAAAAACTTGGGAAATAAAAATAAAAAACGAAATATTTTCTGTTTTTTTTTTGACGAATTGCTAAAAGCCTTTGACGTCATCATTCATCCACTTCAACCGTTGAGGGGTTGAAAAAAGGAAGAAAAAAAAACAACCCTGAAAAGCTTTTTATACCTTTCGAGAAAATAAAAAATAAAAAAAATAAAAATAAATATATATATATATATATATATATATATATATATATATATATAAAATAAATAAATAAAAATTTCCCGCGTGGGAAGAGATCCAAAGGGTAAAAGAGAAGGAAGGGAAATGGGGAGGGGGATGGAGGAAAGAAGGAGGAAGGGAAGAGAAAAAAAAATTCCAGAAAATTCCAATACAAAAAAAAAAAAAATAAAAACCTTTGACGTTCGTTTAATCGAACGTTAATTATTTAAAATACCCAACGATCGAACGAACCCCCTTCATTCTCCCCTCACCCCCAACAAAAAAAAAAGGTTCCTTTAATGTCGCAAAAATAAAAAAAAACACTCAAATGATTTTTCCTCCATTTATTATCGGGGGGGGGGGTTCTCCGGGAAAATTCGATTGATTTTTACTTTTTCCACAAATAAATAAAAAAAAATTACCCGGAGAGAAAAAAGTGGGGAGGGGAGAAGTAAGAGGGGGAGTGGGTGGAATTGTTACGAAGTACCAACCTAAAAAAAAAAAATGAATGAATGACAACCATCTCGCAAAATTCGACTTATTTTTTTTTCCCAGAAAGTTAAAAATGGAAAAAAGGGAGAGAAAAGTTAAAAAAGGAAAAACAAAACAATAATAATAATAATAATAATAATAATAATAATAATAATAATAATAATAATAATGATAATGATAAAACCGGACAAAAGATGAATAATGATAATAATAACCGCAATCAAAGTCCGCAATTTCCATTTCTTTTCTTTTACAAAATTCCGTTTCGGCAAAATGTGGGGGGAAAGCGGGGTGGGGGGAACGGAAAAACGTAAAAAGCAAAAATAAACTTTTTTCCATTAATGGGTAAAACGGAATAAATTAAAAAAAAAAAATCAATAATTATTTTTGACCAAACGTTGGTTGGCGGCCATGTTTTTTTTTTTTTTTTTTATAAACGATGCAAATTATATATATATATATATATATATAATCTTTTGCAAAATTCTCATACGAAAATAGTCATGACGATGACGATGACGACGGTTAAAATAATAATAATAATAATAATAATAAAATAGAACGGGGGAAGGGAGCGGGGGAAAACGGGAAAGCGGAAAAGCGGCAACGTTTTAACGCACAAATCGTGTTTTCTTTTTTTTCATTTTTTTTTTTTTTTTTTAAATTTTTTGAAAAAGTGCGACAATTTTCGTATTACCCCCCCCCTCTTCCCTTTCTCTCGATCTGATCACTCCGACCCTTTTTTTGACCAATCGAATCGTAGGATTTATTCGAACGAATTTAAAATCGACCAATAGAATTCTTGAATTTTCAAAATGAAGTGAAAGAGAAGAAAATGGGGGAAATTTTTGTTTTCTTTTATTACGACGACAGGACATTTACGGGGCGCCATTTGTGTCAAATTAAAAATAAAAACAAATAAAATTCAATGACGTAACGATTATCTATAAAAAAAGGCGGGAAAAAGAAAATTCTTAAAAACCGACGACGAAGATCAACCGGAAACGAATTTTTTTTGTTTTTATTTTACAGCCCTCATATCGCCGCCACTTTGGATGAATACCCTTCCCACGTCACCACCCCACCCCACCCCACCCCCCTTACCGTTTATCGATTGTAAATCATTGTTATCACCGTCTTATAATCATTATCATCGCGAGACGGGGAGAATAAGCGAATGCCAAACGCCAGCCACGCCTGGCATTCACGCCATCATCATCTTTACTTTTTTTTTTTTTTTCTTTTCTTCGGACTCGTCGTCGCCATCTTTGAAAAATTAAAAACTCACGCATGCAATTTTTTGTATTTTTCGAAAAGAAATAAAATTTAGGTACGGTGTGAAAGCGCAAAACCTTGTTTTTCCTCTCACGCCCATTACGTAAAAAAAAACCAGCCTTCCCTTCGGGGTTTTTTATTTTATTCCCTCCAAGCTACCTAGCTAGCTAAGGACCATACCCTACGACCATCTATCGGTTACATACGTTAACGTCCTTCAGGAAGACGATAGAGAGAGACGGAGAGAGAGAGAGAGGGAAACATTCACTTCCGCACAGGATTTAACGTACATTTTCAATGGAAACAAACGCGCGGGAAAAACAATTCTACCCCTTTTGTTTTAAAAGGAAAAGTTTCAAAGGTTTTTCCTCACCTCAAAAAATAATAATAATGATGATGATGATGATGATGATGATAATAAATTTCACGTGAATATTTAGTTTTATGAATAAATACGTCACCGTGTCATGCATACTCCACATAATAAGAATAATTAAAATGTTTTTTTTTTTTTTTTTTTTTAATACTTTACCAAGAACAATAGATTTAATTAAAAAAATGTCGTTAAAAAACGTACGAACGTACGAACGAACGAACAAACAAACAAACAAACAAACATAAAACAAACAAGCAGACGAAAACGAAACGTAATTTTAAAATAAAAATAAATAAAAAAAATAATAAAAAAAAACTCAAAAGCTCATCATCCGTTTCCGCGAAGTAAAATAAAAAAAACGAAGCAGAAGACAAACAAACAGAAACGTAGAAAGAGAGAAAGAGACTGAAAAAGAGAAAGAGAGAGAGATAATTGAAAAAAAAAAAAAAAAAGAAGAATCTCACCGACGACGACGATGACGACGGTTCAAAAGGTTAACATTTTTTTTTTTACACGCGTTCGTCCTTATTACTATGATTATTATTATATACATACATAAATCGTAATTTGCAATATTGAAAACAAAATTTAAAAAACCGTCATAAAAGCAAACAAACAAACAAACAAACATTTACGTGACCCCTGGCACCAATAAAAGAAAAAAACAAAACAAACAAACAAACGAACGAACGAACAATCTCCTCACGCTGTTCGACACGAAAAACAACTTTAAACATATATATATATATATATATATATAACATTACGTAACGCAAAAAATAAAAAAAACCATAAGATGGAAATTTTTATCATTATTATTATTATTTTTGCCACCAGCCTCGCAACCAGCGACAACTATCGACGTGTCGAAAAAAAAAAATAAAACAATCGACAAACAAACAAACAAACGCACCAAAGAAACAAACCAAAACCATCAACTTTTCCTAATACAAAAAAAAATAATAATAAATCCCGTATTATTATCATTATTATTACCAATATTTTTCGCATATTTTTTTTTCTCTTACGTATCGAATAATAATAATAATGATGATGATGATAATAATAACAACTAAAATGGATTTTAATAAACGGAGCCAATAAAAAAATCTTTTTTTTTTTTTTTTTTTTTTTTTATTTAAATAATTGAATATTTATAAATAAATAAAAAAAAATTATTGATTTATTATTATTAATAATTTAAATAAAATAAATTAAATAAATAAATAAAAATCGATCGATCGATTCCGATCGATAAAAAAAAAAATTGATTAAAATTCAATAATAAAAAAAAGGAAAAAAAAAAAAAAGATTTATTATTAACTCCGTTTATTTTAAATGCATTTTTAATTTACCAAGGGTGGGGGGAGGGGAGGAGGAGGAGAGGGAAGGGGGAAAGGGGAGAAAGACTCAGTCGTAAGCTTACGTAAGATCGTAAGTCTTTTTTTTTTTGAATTTTAAAAATTCGGAGCAGCCAACTTAACGAAAACGAAAACCGAAAAAAAAAATTAATTTTCGAACTCAATAATAACAGGCGTGCCAACCGAGGAATTATTAAAAAATTAAGAAAATAATTAATGATGATGATGATGATGATAATTTTAAACTTTTTTTACAATTCGTTAAAATTCGACAGCAGAGAGAGAGAGAGAAAGAGATAGATTTTTCTCACTCCAACTTAGAAGTCGTATAATTTCACCTTCGATTCGAAATTTAAAAGAAAAAATTTGTTTGCTCTTCTCTGGCAAAACCGCAATTTATTTTTGGCTCGTTTAATTTTCAACCATCGCAAAAATCCTCCTCGTATTTATCATCATCATCATGAAAAACGACAACATTGCCAGCAGCAACAGCAGCACCATACGACGGTAGCAAAGCAAGCAACAGTACGCTCGTGCGAAAACATTACAATTTTTCAAACATCTTTCGTTTGTAATTAATCGTCGTCGACAAACAATTACAAACAATATCGTTATAAATTGATTGTTGTTGTCGTCGTCTTCGTTGTCGTTGTGGTTGTTTCCGTTGCCGTATTTAACGTTTTCAAGGTCACACAACACCATCCGATCAATAAATCAATGAACTTAATTTTTTTTTTTTTTTTAAATATAAATTATTTACTACTCCTCCACGTCAAACCTAACAAACAAACAAACAAACACCTACTTTTTTTCTCTCTCTTTCGTCGATGAGAAAAATAAACAAACGAAAAGGAAAGTGAAAATGAAAAAAAAAAAAAAAAAAAAAAAAATCGAAAATTAAAAAAGAAAACAAAAAAAAAATTCGATATATCGAAAGGATACGCGTTTGTTGTTGTTGCTGTCGTTGTTGTTTTTTTTTATTTTAATTGCAACCGCGATCGACCTTCAGAATTTTCCTTTTTTTTTTTTTTTTACACAATCCGGATATTTGGAAAATTTAAATTTAACAATGGCGGACCGCAGTCGATATCGGATATGGCGGACCTTGGCCTCTTTATTTGACCGTTAATTGATCACGTTTCGTTTCGTTTCTTTTTTCTTTTTTTTTTTTCTCTTTTGCCATTATTTTTACGAATTGCAAATAATATTGCGTACCTCGATCATTATCATTATTATTATTATTATTATTATTATTATTATTATTATTATTAACGCACAATCTAAATCCCCCGTTTGTTGTTTCGACAGAAAGATAAAAAGAGAGAGAGAGAGAGAGAGAGAGAGAGATGTATGAACGATTATATGTACACGACAAGGATGTTATTGATTGTTTGTGGTACTTACGCGACGAGGCCTCCCAAAAAAGCGACCGGGGCTCCGCCGATGAGTCGGATTTTCTTGTGACACGAATCCAAAAGGCTCAACCTGGGTGATATTTCAAAAACGGTCGCGTTTCCACCGGAAGTCGGATTTTGACCAGACATAAAAAGAGATTTCAACATTCCCGTTGTGTCCATTCTCAT